TATATTGGTCTAGCGCTATAGCACTCAATTTAGAACACTAAAAAAAGTCTGAGGAAGATTGCACAGTAAAAAAGGGTAGGGGGGAAGTGTGGCGCTATTGGAAGCACTGCAGACATTTTAAACAGCACACTACAGCAATTCAGAGGCGCAAAGAAGAGGTGAAAATGGAAGAAAGCGGTCTACCTCAAGAACGGCTCAACCACGCTTTGCTAACTGGATGCAAGCAGCTTTGTATGAAAAGGTAAATAACATCCATTAGCAGTTGGTTGCTAAAACAGTTGTGTCTGAAATGACACAAAAAATCTGTTAGCAACTGGCTACCAAAATGGATTACAGAGACCTTCTGAAAGGGGCCAATGTTTCATTAGAAGCTGCTGAAATTATGGTTGGTGACTGTTGTTTATGCTAGGGAGTGTTGTTTTTGTTAACTTGTAATTGGTTTGATTCTGTTGATTGGATTTTATTGTCCTTTTCAACTGCTGTTAGCCACCCTGCAGCTATCGTTAAGTAGGAACGGTCAAGGATATTAATTGTGGGCGGGAGAGAAGAGAAGATAAACAATTCCATGCATTCATTTTTCAACAGCCATTTTCACCCTAGCCTTGAGCAGAACGCAGGAAATAACTTTAGCCTCTTAAGAGAGGAGCACAGAGTCTGTCTGACTCCCAAGCACAGACAGAACACTAATAATTATTATCTACAGTAACCTTGTCGAGGTGCTGAGGGTGGGTATTTGTAGCTATTTGCAGCAGCTCGGGCTGCAGGAACCAACAAGCAAGGGCCTTTGTTCCCCAGCTGGAAGGGGAAAGTGCCAATTTGTGCACAGGACTGCGCCACTGCCTCCTAACAGGGAGAGCGGGCCTGCGCTTCAGCACCATTATTAACAGCCATATTCCTCCTCGCTGCCTCCCCTTACCCGTGGGTGTCTGCCAGGCCTTGAAGCACAGTCACGTGACAACCAGGTTCCTAGGGGAGTTGTGTCATATACTTATAATGGAATTATTCCACTTCAACACACATACTATTGCAGCCAGGGAGGGGAGAGGGAGGAAAGGCAAAGGGACGGGAACGGCTGGATGGGGGAAAACACTGAGAAGCCGTACTTTAGATAATTGCCAAGTCTGCCTGCCCTTGGCAGACTCACGTTGTTGGGAGCTCTGAACTCTTGTTACTAACTCGTACGCCTCACACGTTTCCACTTGGCCAATATTATGACAGGGGCTGCATACATCATGCCACATGGCCCAGGCAGGTGTTTAAATTAGGACTCAGACGCATAATCAGCGTTGACCGCAATCAGCCTTGAGTAGTGGGTCAGCATTTGGACTCAGTAAGATGAGAGACGAACAACGCATTTATAAAAGAGTTGGCTGTGTGTTGTGTCCGCTGACCGCCACCAGGGGCCAGCGAATACCCCAGAGCTTGACTCTGGAAGAACAATGGGGACTAGGCCCCTGGTCTCTCCACTGGGGGACCAATGGGACCGTGGCGGGAGATTTGAACCCACCAACGGGACCTAGGGGGGCGTCCCCGGGTGTGTATATAGTTGGCCAGCCGGCCGTTAGTCTTTGTCTTTGTTGTGTACCAGTAAACCATGCTGATCACTACATCGGTCTCAGTGGTTTCTACATGCGTTTAACCCACTACACTTCACTGTGGCTCCGTCCAACGTAGGGTTGCCAACCTCCAAGTGACCAAAAATGAGAGATCACAGGAGGAAGTGAAATTCCAAAAACAACATCCGTGACAAAAATAACAAAGAGTCAGTAAAGATAAGTTGCAAAAACGTTTACTGTAGTAATATCTGTAGAAATTTTTCTTCTATTATTGCTCACACGCTAACGAATACTGGGCACTAAATAATTTGTTTCATAATATTTGTTTCATAATATTTGCTTTATCTTACCGTGTAGCAATCCCAATTCTTACCAATTACTACTTATCACAATGTGAAGACCTTGGGTTCTGTTACTAGAGAGTCAACATGGAATCTTTCCTTCAAGAGTTGATAAGTAGTAATAGTCACATCAAACAAAGAGGTACTGTTTCTCACCGAGTCTCATGCCGGGGGAGCACGGACCTGCTGGCTGGCGCCTTTCACAGCAGGTCCTTGGCCTTTTCCCTGCACCTGAGGTTCCCCTTTTATTTTAGCAGGAAAGGGGGTGCTTGATGAGGGGAACTCGGTGACTTGTAGTGCCTCAGCTAACTTGGGGCGCTTCCCGTTGCTCCTTGGAGAAAAGTCCTCAGCGTCTCACTCTCCTAGCCGCCTTCTGTTGTTGGTATTTGGCCGGGGCTTCCCTCGACTCCCGTCCTGGTGGTTACTGCTCCTCCGCTGCGGCTCTCTGGGGCCCTTGGGGTGGTACAGTCTTTCCAAGTCGAGACGGTTCTCCGCTTCAGACGCCACCTGGCGCCACCCCACTAGCATGAGGGGATTATCCCGAGCTAAGGCCTTTTCCAAGACGGTGACGTCCAGGCCAGCACAGAAAAACTCTATTAACACTTCCTCAGGCCACCCCGATAACTTAGTGGCAAAGGCCTTGAAGTCCTCTGAATATTCCTGGACTGACCGATTACCTTGGCGAATTCCCCATAGCCGTGCACGAGCTTTCTCCAACTCCAGAGGTTCTTCAAATTGGCATTGCAAAGCTCGCAGGAATTCTTCTACATCACGCAACTCCGGTGCTGCTGCATTATACAGGGCTACGAACCAGTCGGCCACTCGCTCCCGCAAGCGTGAAGCCACATACTCAACACGTTGCTCATCAGAGAGGAAGGTGTGCCCCCACTCCTGGAGCATAGTCCGCACCTGGATCACAAAGAAGTGCAGCTTCTCAGGGCAACCATCGAAGGTGGCTTCCAGCACGCCTCAAGACTGCCATCGGTCAGGGGACTCTCCTCGCCTCGGGGGCCTTTCCCCAGCTGGCTCCCCACCGGCCTCCTGTTCCATGAGATCCCATACCAACTGGGGCAGCTGTTGGTTCAGTTGTTCCACTATGCCTTTCAGCCGTCGGACCTCTCTCCGCAAGTTGAATGGGTTAAAAAGTAGTCGTCTCTGCAGCATGGTGCCCGGCCAGCGGAGGGTGTTGGAAATCTCGTGTTCTTGCTCAGCCATCCCCCCCCCCCCCGCCCCCCCCCGGTCTCGGTCTCCGGCCTTCAGTCCCCTACTCTGACTCAAGCAACTTCCCCCCCCCACTCGGGAAACTGCATGGAGGGGGAATCGCCTTCTGCCTCCATGTTTTCCTCCTCCTCACTATCTAGCCCCGGCTCACGTGGTTCATCAGGGCTTGGAGAAAAATGGCTTCCTGACCCCAAAGTGGTGACCGGCATTTCTCTGGGCATGTAAGAAAGGGCCACAAGAACTAAGCACTGAGGCAACCCTTCCGTCCCTCCCCCTCATGATCTGCCCAAGTTCACAGAATCCACATTGCTCTCAGATGGCCATCTAGGCTCTGTTTGAAAAACTCCAAAGGAGGAGAGCCCACCACCTCCCGAGGAAGCCTCTTCCCCTGAGGAACTGCTCTAACTGTGAGGACGTTCTTCCTAACGTTTAGCCAGAAACTCTTCTGGTTTAATTTCAGCCTGTGGGTTCTGGTCCGACCTTCTGGGGCAACAGAAAACAACAGACTTGGGATTCTAGGACAAGAAGCCCATCGCCCTGGAATGTACATTAACAGCCTGTACCACCAGCTAGAAGATACTGAAGACATCTATAGAAGACCTGCGAGCCACCCATGGGGAGAGAGAGAGAGCTGATGGAAGCCATCATGATCTAGCACTTTAGGGCATTACAAGTTACAATACTGTTTCAAATGTTTTACTATACTATCAAATGTTTTTGCTGATTTTATGCTAGCCAGTTTGGTGTCGTGGTTAAGTGTGCGGACTCTAATCTGGGAGAACCGGGTTTGATTCCCCACTCCTCTACTTGCACCTGCTGATGTGATCTTGGGTCAGTCACAAGCTCTGGCACAGCTGTCATTGAAAAAGAGCAGTTTCTGTCAAGAGCTCTCTCAGCCCCACCCACCTCACAGGGTGTCTGTTGTGGGGAGGGGAAGGGAAAGGAGTTTGTGAGCCGCTCTGAGACTCCAAGTGAAGGGCGGGGTATAAATCCAATCTCTTCTTCTCTTCTTCTTCTTCTGGGCGCCCTGGGCCGGACTAGGCTGGGAGGGCAGGGTATACATCTGAATAAATAAATAAATAATCCCTATTGGCAAGAAAGGCAGCATTTATTTATCTACATCATTTGTATTCTGCCTTTCTCCCTAATGGGGACCCCAAAGTGGATTTTATCCTAACAATAACCCTATAAGGTAGGTTAGGTTCTATGACTGACCCAAAGGCATCCAGACAGCTTCCATGGCAGAGTGGGGATTTGAACCTGGACCTCAGGGTTCCTGGTCTACTCATGACGTCTTTCAATGAAGTAACTAAACAAATTGATGGAATAAATACTTTTCATCTGAGGAAATCAGCGTCAGGATCCAGTTCACAATTACTTGCGGTACGGGAACACTAGAAGTGCCAGACACAAATCCATAAGAGACGGAAGCAAGCGAACTTGCAGTGCGGATGTGGATCAAAAGAACTGAGCAGGAGCACATGAAATAGAGATGTGAGGTGCGCTTCGGGAAAGACTGTGCAAAAATGCTGCAACGGAGGGAAAGAAGCTGGGCAGAGAACCTCACAGTGTCTGTTGAGCGGGAATCTAAATCGCCGTCTCTCCTTTGTGCCCATGTCAAATGCTAACCATGGCTTGTACCAGGCACATGTCTTTCCTTATAAACTTGCACGCCTGCCTCTCCAGAACCTACCCAAGGAGGCTCACAACTGAAACAATTAAAACAAGCCACACAATAATAAACAGGTCAATATAAGCACGCCAGGGCATAAAAACTGCATTAGAATAAATTGCCTTCTTCACCAGGCACATATTCAAATAAAGTAGCATCCGCAGCCCAACCCCAGCTCCCCAGCCCCACAGCCTTCCGTGCCCTACTCACATTGTACAGCACTGTAGTCCATCCTTCCATGGTGATGCACTGGAAGACGGTCAGCACAGCAAAAAGGATGTTGTCAAACTGGGTGATCCCATCGTTGGGACCGATCCATTCCCTGCACTCGTAGCCTGCAGGGCATCCCTGTACCCCACAGGGATGAGGTGGGTCCAGTTCTTGTAATTCACCTGCAGTCCCAAGAGATAAAGAGGATGGATAAATGAAATAGCTACGGTCTTTTACCCAGAGGGGCACAGCAAGGCAGGAACTGGTACACGACTCGGTTTTGTTCTGGGGGGGGGGGACCTCAGGGTTCACCAGAAGGCTATTCGAGGTTCCTCACGGACAAGATCGATAAGGGCAGAAAAGCTTCCTAGAAACACAGTTTGCTGTGTGTTACTGATCCATTGTTGCAAAAACAAAATTATCGATCCTTCCTTGCAGGCTCAAGGGAGTGAGGAGTGTGTTCCGAGAGACATCCTCGGTTCACGCAGGACAAGAATGAGGCCCACCGGCCTGGCTGGCCGTCTGCATGAGATCCTGCTGAGCCTCTCCCCCTCCATGCCCCAGAATCCACTGCAACACACAGAGTCCCTTGGCCAGAAGCACAATGATCCCTTAGCCTTTAAGTTAACGTACAAAAAAGCTCACTGAAGGCAGAAGTCCGAAAACATCCCTTATGCCAAAGATCCCGAGCAAGGATGGATCGTGAGCACCACGTTGCAGCATTTTTTTAAAAAAGCTGCTAAGTGAATCAGATAGTCACATAATTCAAAAGTTAGCTCATCCCTCTTTACCACAATGGAAGCATTCAGAGCTCTTCTCCTAACAGCCTATTCATATGTCATTTTAAACACAGAGATGTGAAAGAGCACACATCACCTACACCTCTTAATTCCCCCACTCAAAGTGGCATGCACCATCCTCACACATCTGTACATCACCTCCCAAATAGCATAATCCATGTCATTCCAACAGTGGCCTGCAGAGAACCCATCTATTCCAAGAATCATGGTGGCAGCACAAAGCATCTCTGCTCTGTACAGACTGCTCAGCAATGAAGAGGAGGAGGAGGAGATTGGATTTATACTCCACCCTTCACCACCTAAAGGACTCTCAGAGCGGCTCACAAACTGCTTTCCCTCCGTCTCCCCACAACAGACACCCTGTGAGGTAGGTGGGGTGAGGGAGCCGAAAACTGCTCTTGAGAGAACAGCTCTGAGAGAACTTGTGACTGACCCAAGGTCACCCAGCTGGCTGCATGTGGAGGAGTGGGGAATCAAACCCGGTTCTTCCAGATTAGAGTCTGCGCTCCTAACCACTACACCAAACTGGCTCTACACCAAATGCACACTGCAGCCCCTCCATAGGGTTCTGCTCAGGGAAGATGCTGATTAGTCCCCCACCCAAATCAAAATCTGACCCAGTGTGATGGTGTCCCCAAGCGCAGTGGTTCAATTTTTTTGCCACTGGGCTCAACAGCCATTGATAGCATAGAGATATACTAAGGAACCCTGTTGTAGAGTTGTGTGGCCCAAACATATCAATTGCTCTCGGTGACCCCAGTTTGGAGGGGGCAGGATGATCAGGTATTGCACCCCTTCAGTTAGTCCTGAAGTTGCAGCATATTTATTTTCTCTGCCGAACTCAGTGGGAGCAACTGATGATGGAAATTGTCCTCTCCACAGCTCCACTTTTCATTAGGGGAGGGACTGTGGCTCAGTGGTAGAGCATCAGCTTGGCATGCAGAAGGTTCCAAGTTCAGTCCCCAGCATCTCCAGTTAAAAGTAGAAAGTAGGTGATGAGAAAGACTTCCACCTGAGACCCTGGAAAGGTGCTGCCAATCTGAGTAGACAATGCTGACTTTGATGGACCAAAGGTCTCATTCAGTATAAGACAGCACCATGTGTTCATGTGTATCCATATGCACAACCCCTCCTGGATTCAGTTTCATGGTCACATTCAAGAGTGATGCTAAAGTGCAGGAGAAATATGTTCATGCGTGATGCAGGAATTCAGTAGTGCAATGATGCTTTTGCATCTGTGCGTTGCATTTAAACTATCATTCCCCTTAACTGGCCCCCACCGCAAAAATATAAAACTTCATCCTCCAGAAGAAAGCCCACAGATACAATCTGGCAGTATTCTGGAGAAAGATAGGAGGGTTCAAGTACTCAGGCCCTGTTCTTTTAAAGTTTTTATCACAATACACTTTTCATGATAACACAATTCCCCCAATCCTTTTTTGTTGACGGGAAGCCAGGGACTCAGGGTGAACAACGTAAGGCTGGGGACGTGATGTGATGGGGACATGCAGTTTACCAAGACTGCAGCCAGGGCTCCCTGTAAGCTGTGGAGTCCTGTGAGCAAAACTTCTACTTTGTGAGCTACTGGCATTAAAGTTGTGAGCGAGTGATTTGGCTACTGCATAAATTAGTTTGCTCTGGAGCCATCCTTCCTGAGCTAAGACAAAAATGTGTGAGCCAGAGGCTTAAAAACTGTGAGCTAGCTCACACTCACTCAGCCTAGAGGGAACACTGAATTGCAGCCCAACCATCACTTTGGTGACTCAGCAGGCATTGCTGGACTCAGTGCCCCAGAATGGCCCTCTCAGCAGGGTAAGAGCCTATATAGCCTGGGATTAATGGGGCCAGGCCTGATGACATCATGAGGTGGGCCTTGGTGATGTAATGCTTTCACCATACAACCAGCCTTGCTCCAATCGAGGTCCATTCCACTCCATGTGATTATCTGAGCTGTGCCCTCTGGCTAGAATAAGGCAGAAGAGGAAAGGGGATAAACACTGTTCTGTACCTGAATTATTCACATAGCAAGCCCGGTGTAGTTTCCCACTGTAGAACTCCAGACCAATGATGGCAAACATCAAGATAGCAAAGAAAAGGAGGAGTCCTATCTGGAGAAGAGGCACCATCGCCTTCATGATGGACTTAAGCACAATCTGTAAACCTGGGAACGAAGAGAAGGAGGGAGAGCACAATGAAACAGAAGTACCACTGATGGATCCCGTGAGCAGAACATTCCTCGTGATGCCAACGCCCTGAGGGCACTAAGGTTCTTTGACTTGTGTGGCTAGTCAATAAGCCACACAGTGAAATAAACTAATCCAGGCAATGAAGGGTTAAAAAAAGATTTATTCTAATAAAGAACATCTCACAGCAAAGAAATTCAGCATGGATATTCAGTGTGTTACAGTAGGGATCTTGCTTATATGCTCTTCTTGCTCCTCCTCAGTTTACATCATCACTGACATCATTTAGACATGCTCAGTTTAGATTTCTTTGTCTGGTCAGTCATCGATCACATATTTGACAAACAGGATGTTACTTGGTTGCGTCTCAACTCTACAATGCAGGTGCTTGTCTCATTATGTTGATCTATATATGTGTTCATTTTCTTTTGGCTGTCTACCTAGACTCCTTTCACCTTTGAATGAACTCTCAGGCCGAGTTCATTTTTAGTACAAAACTTAGATATTTTCATTACAAAAATGGTTCTTTCACATTAATATATGCATATAAAAGTATAACAATATTCTTAAGGCATTTTATAGGCTTATTTTCACTAAGGGTATGCACAAATATGAAAACATATATCATTACAATGACATTCTAAAGAATTAAATCATTTACATGTTTTCTTTTAGTGTTTCAAAGTAGTCTATGGCATAAAGCTTCTGTAGATATATTGTATCACACATTATTCTTCATTTTTGGTTCATCAGGGAATTTTAACAGAATATTTAAACCTTTAAATTTCCTTATTTTTTCAAGACATGTTATTTTACTTTAACCAGCAGGAGTCACCCTTTTATAATACAAGTTCTGCATTTTTAATTGATCCTTTTAATTAGCTTCTTTAGCTGACCTGCCCATGATTAATGTTTTCTATTTTGTCTGTGCTCTCTACACACCTTGTCAGCTCCTGGTCATTTTCCAACTTTATTCTTGTCAACAGCTTGTTAGCTTTAAACATAATTCATTATTAGAAAATTAAAACCTTAATTGATTTTCTTCTTTTTAATAAACATTCAGAAACATTTATCCATAAGCTTTCGTTCTCAGCTATAAACATTCAGAGACATTTACCTTTTAACAGTTATTATTTGTTATAAAAGCACCCTTAAAAACTTAGATCTATTTTGCATAGAAAATACAACTAAATTTTTACTCAACCCTATTTTGACATCCTTTTAACTTAGCTTGTGGATCCTTGCCAGGTCAGTTGTAAGTGTATAAAAACATCTTAACCAATTATTTTCTAGTTCCTGTGAAGTAAAGGATGGAACCATAAATCTTGACATTGGCAGTGTGCTTTCTGCCATTAAAATTCCCTTCATTGGCATTAGTTAAAGCTTTCTCAAGCAAAGTGTTTTCTATTTAAAATAGGCTGAAAAGGCAGATAGATAGATAGATGACAGACAGATAGATATTGCTTATAGATTCCAATACTTCAATATTGAAATGTTACAACACTCTAAGCCTCTTTAAAATTACTAAAACTCAGAAGCTGGAATGAACTCCTGAACTCACTCTTTGAAGTAGAGAGGCTCTCATAAATCTTCACTTATGACAGATGGAAAGTACATCCTAATTGAAAATTAGCTAAGTTACCTGGGACAGAAGCACCTGCAGTTTGCTCCCAATTAAAATTCCTTTTCTTTGAAGCAAGGGCTGGAACATGTCAATTAAGTTTGATTTAAAACATCTGTTTTCTTTACAACTGTGCTTAGTGATTCAAATTGTTTGTTAATTCTCCAGAAAAGCCCCAAAGAATTTATCCCAAAGGTTCCTGGAAATCAACAATAATCAATAGAAAATCACTTGAACCTTTGAATTGTCCCCTACAGTCGGCTTGGGGAACAGGAGGAGGAGGAAAACAAAGGCAAGCTGCTGTAGTTTGGAGAAATACACTGAGACTGAAACAGTTAAGGAAAAGCTGGTGGGAAACCCAGCTGGATTTAGCTAAAGTACAGCAGCTTGCCCGTTGTTTCCCTCCTCCTTTTCTGTACCACAGCAGCCCCTAGAGTAACCTAACACAATCCCAATGGCAGTGTGTCGCTTTCCTAGTGGTGTATGTATCTCTTTAAGACTCGCTTGGATGACCCTGTAGCAGCCAGTTCAAAGCAAAAATTAAGTTCACTTTTTTGGGGGAGGGGGAGAAGAGCACTCAAAATTCTGAAATGCTGGAGCTTAAAGCTGAAGCCAAACTGAAATGAAATGAGCAGTTTCAACTCATCCTAATTGCTAGCTGTTTTATTTCTAAGGCATTATACGTGAACCCTGATAGCAATTCAACTATTCTTGTTTCACCTTCGTTTTTGACAGCGAAAAGTTTATACCTATCGCATTATCCTTTGCAGGAAGAACAGATGTATACGGAAGATACTCCATCGGCAGGAAGATTCTCTTGGGTAATTGGTTCTGCTTCGAAAGACCAAGGTAGTCATAGCTACGAGTGCAACTTCAGTAAGAACAGGTTTCCCAGAATGCTCTGCTCTGGCTTAGTTTCCCAGTACTAAACAAATGACGGGGAAAATTAACGTGACCATTTACCAAGAGGTAATTTAGTACTCATGTGAATTAAATCCGCTTCGACACTGACCCTTTGAGCCAAGAGTTCAGGAGATCTGTGCAAGACTACAGTTAGCCTGTTATCTGTTCCGATTGGATTTCACCTGATCACAAGACTCTGGCTTGTATCTAAGGATCCATCCGTGGAATGTAGGTTTCATCATGTTTCTCTCCTCTCCTGCAGCCCCTTCCGGCCTTCAGAAAGACTGGTTCGGCAGTTGCAAGACCCACATGGCGGAATAGCTCTGCAGAGCTTGGGGCACTGCAGGGAAGAGGGCCAGAGGGACTGAAATGTTCCTTCTCCCTTCTTCCATCAGTGCAGCTCTATTGATGGAAGAGAGCGGAAGAGGCAATTTTATCACCTTCCCCTCTCCTCATTGCAGTCCCTCCCCCCAGCAGCAGATCCCACAAACTGTGGAATGATCTTTGTGGGGGTTGGGGTTGCAGTAGAGGCCATGACTATGAGAAAACTCCATGTGCCTCCCATGGACACATGATTGGATACAAGCAATGCTCCCTCTAAGCTGTGGAGTCTTGTGCGCAAAAATTCTACTTTGTGAGCTACTGGCATTAAAGTTGTGAGCGAGCCATTTGGCTGCTGCATAAATCAGTTTGCTCTGGAGCCGTCCTTCCTGAGGTAAGACAAAAATGTGTCAGCCAAAGGCTAAAAAACTGTGAGCTAGCTCAACCGGACTCAGCTTAGAGGGAACACTGGCTACTAGCCTCTTGTCTGGCTTGTCAGTCCTCACAAGCTGTCTTAAAAGAGATGATCCAGGTGCTGTCAGATTATTAAACACATCTGCCTGCTGCTCTGATGCTTTTACCTCCAATTCTGATGCTCCTTCCCCCCAATCAGAGGAAGTGCAGTGAACGTCTTCTCAGTCCTTGACCAAGAGATACATGACTCTAGTTAGTCAGTACTTAGTAAATAACTTTCTGAGTTGAGCCTAAGAGTGATTTGGAGTGATTTAGCCTCCTTCTGAGGCTTGGCCCGTAGCAATATGGAAAAACCCTGGTTGTGCTGTAGTTAGGACTACCAGATCTTCTACTGACAACCCCGACCCCCTACCGCAGCTCAGCAGGGCAGCAGAGGAACAACTGGTGTGAAAAATCAGTGTTTGGCAATGTGATGTCACTCCTGGGGGAAACTTGGAAGTGACATCACTGTGTCACAGCAATGCTCTGGATCCCTGGAAACTCTTTGGTTTTACTGAAGGACTGGCACAGTGTCGTTGCCTACCGCCCCCTATGTCCCTGCTGCTGGGCATTAGTTACCCGGAGGCAACCCTAGCTGTAGCTCCTGAGAGGATCAGGAATCAACCCAAGGTAATATCCACTTCTTTTCTAGGCACAAGATGCGAAATATCTGTAAATAAGTTTTTCAATTACGGCTTGAAGTTTTCTTGAAAGAGACAGAGAAAGAACATACTTTGAAACACGGCAGGAGAATGAAGTGGGCAGGAGACGGCAGAGAGCTGAGGTGGTAGAATGGAATGTACCCCTTCAGAGGGATAGTTCAGAGTCCCCCTGTGTATAAATAATTCCCTGGAATTAGGAAACCAGCACAGCACACCAAAGGCTAGGGTAGAATCTTTCATGCAGTGAGGTACTCATCTCTTTTTGCACTTAATCCCTACATGAGTGTAGGGCACAAATGATGACACCCCAATAATTGCAATGATAGAGGCAAACAACCGGATTTAAGATTTACAAGCTCTATCTGCAGATCAAGCAGAATCCCTCTAAAGTCAGAGGTCCCCAGAACAAAGGTTACACAGTATTTTTAAACACAATCATTTCTTTAAACTGACTGCGAAAGCCTTCTTCATCTCCCATAGGCCTAGGGGAATGAAGTCACATTTTTTCTGGTTACGCCTTCTTCACATCTCCTTTACATGTCGTCGCCGCCCCCCCCCTTTACATATATCGTGTGTTCATGCTAATGAAGCATTATCTAAGCAGAGGTGTGTCAGTAAATATGTATCAGCTAATTACGCCTGTGTCGTGCCGAAGAGTTCTTTGACCTTTCTGTTACTAGGCAGAAGCTGTGGTTTTTTGGTGAAATGTTTCTACCAAACCGTTTCTGTGGAAATACTGCAGGTGTTCTAGTAAGGTGTTCACTGCAGGCTAGCTTTTTACAAAGTTCATGTCTGGCTCAGCAAGCAAAGAAGCAAACACTGTCTTTGCTGGCAGACAACAGACTTCTGACATGAAGGTCTTAATGATGAGTTATTCCCAAAATCCACTTTTCCCCCTCACATGAGGGAGCATTATGAATCTGACCCTTTCTTCCCTATAGTCTGAAGTAGTGCAGCTCATTCTACCACCTCCGAATCTTACCACCTCATTCTGCGGCCTCTGTGAACCAGACCGCACAGCCTCCAGGAATGAAGTCTCAGGCTGAGGGGCAGGGGCCCGACGGACTTCCTGCCTGGCTTGAGGGGCCTTGCTAATTCCTCTGTCTTCTGGCCTCTCAGGTGCCACCTCGGAGGTACTAGGCATCGCCCGGTTCTTCACTCTGACCTGCCACACGTGCCGCCCCAGGCCTGTCAGGTGCCACCAGGCCCCGCCCGATCCCATCAGGCTCCTCAAGAACGGTCCAGGCATCATCCTATGGTTGCCAACCTCCAGGTGGTAGCTGGAGATCTCCTGCTAGGACAACTGATCCTTGGGCGACAGAGACCACCTGGATAAAATGGCTGCTTTGAAGGTGGACTCTGTGGCACTATACTCTTTTGAAGCCCCTCCCCAAACCTCACCCTCCTCAGATTCCACCTCCCCCCCAAATCTCCAGGTATTTCCAAACCCGGAGCTGGCAACCCTACACCCCCCGTATCCCAAGCTCTTTTTAAAATATATATGTTTTATTTACACGCCCAAAACAAATGCCAACCATGGGTTCTGAGCCTGTGGAGACCTGGGCACCTCGCAGTCTGTGATCACCCCAAATTTTACATCCCACATTATCTAGCAAATTGGTAAACCAGAAAGTGGTCCATGTACCCCTTTCCAAGGAAGCGGAAGGGGGGGACACAAGGAGGTGAGGAGGGGAAACCGGATGCTTACTAGGAATGCCTGAGACAAGCTTCAAGGGTCTGAGCACTCGCACCGCCCGCAGAGTCCGCAGGTCCACATGGGTGTTGAAATGTGTCCCTGCTGTGGCAAGGATGCTGGAAGCAAATAAGAAGAGAAAGTTACTATAGATAGCTCTCGGGTAACGGCACATATGCCTGCCTCCCAGCCCCCAGGAGGGGGCGTTACACACACCAGGCACCTGACAGCCGGAATTGGTGCACCTTACACCCCACAGTGAGTCAACAGCCATTGCTCAGTCTAAACTTAGCATCCTTAAAGCTGAGCTGCAATTAAAATATACATGTCGGTGCTGGGGGACTCACATTTTCCAGCGCAATGCGATCCAGCCGGCCTTGCTTTAGTATCAGGAATCAGAAGTCCCAAGCCCTTAGCCTCTAAGAGGCTTGAACCAGAAGCCTCAGGCCAGAACCAGCCTGCTAAGGTATCATGAATTGTGCCTGAGCAAGTTCAGAACCCACTTCAGGCAGAGAAGGAAATGGGAAGCCTCTGGATTGTCCAGGCCTGGCATAAAATCTTAGCCACCTGGCCTCCTGCCTTGGTTTGGTTATCAGAGCCATGTCATCTGTCTACTGCTTTGAAGGATCCAGTTTCCAGGCCAACCCCTTCAGTTCTGGGTTTGGATATAACCACCCACAGTCTGACTGGCCCTCAGCGGATATATTTCTGATTTTAAAAAACAGGTCATTTAAAAATAAACACTTAAGGTTAGTCTTCATGCTGTTGCCTTTCCCAGTTTCCTTCTCTCTTCTCACCCCCTTTTAAAAAGTTCAAATCCTTTCATAATCTGAGACTTTGAAGCGGAGTACAATTTGCAAATACATGCAGAATGCTGATGGCAAAACATATTCCTGCT